TTGCTGGACTTGCTTGCTAAGGAGCCACCGAAGGAGCCGCCAAAGGAGGAAAAGAAGAAGGAAAAAGATAAAGATAAAGATAAGGACAAAGAAAAGAAAAAACACAAAGTCGCGGCCTCAGCATCACCCCATAATATCACAGCTGGGATGCATGTGAGTTGCAGCTTCCTTGTTGACGTTTGCGTGGCTTGTGATAGAAACCGTTTGAGCCCTAGTACAAACCTTTTCCCAACCCTTGGAACGCCGTCGCACCCACAGTGATAAATAGAGTTCGGTGCCTCGCACCTCTTTCGTTGGGCAGCTGGAAAAGTCCGTTGCCACAAAAAAAGAGAAGCATCATTTTCCAGGCATGGCAGGCATTCAGGCGTTGATGGGAGGATTTCAGATTTTGTTTGCAGTGTTGGTGTGTTTCTCCGCCTCTGGTATCAGGAGAAGGACAAGCAGAAGGAGGGCAAAAAGGACGATTTGTTTGCTATGGTTTGAGGTTTCAAGGACCACCACCCACCCATACACCCTTCGTGACAGATTTCGATGTCTTAGCGATTGTGGAATCAGTTGGGAACTGAGGGAAGGTTCGAACTGTGGAGATTCCGGCCATAGTCTTCCAGAATGTACGGGAATAACAACGTATGTATGTATATACATATATTTATATATATATACATAAATATACATATTAGAGACACACACACACACACGTGCGTATATATATATATATATATATATATACACACATATATATATATATATATATACATATTCATGCATATATGTATAGATGTACGCACACATATATATATATATATATATATATATATATATATATGAATATATATATATATATATAATATATGTATATATAACCTGTATGTATGTTGTATGTATGTATGTATACATATAGATATATATGGTGCAGCGCTGCTAGGCCCCCCCTCCCCCCCCCCACCCCATGGTATCCCCCCCCTCCCCCCCCTGTGGTTCGCTGTGGTGTGGGTTCCCCCCTCCCCTCCCCCCTGTGGTTGCGGTCGGCTGTGCCCCCTTCCATGGCTATTGCTGGTTGGGCGTCCGGCTGCTAAAGGTTTTGACCTTAGGATGTGATACAGTTCCACTGGACTCCGACCTGCCCTGAGCTCCAAAGCCAATGACAGAGATTAATATTTTGGTTATGATAATGACCAAGATTGTGGTCATGATCCCCACCTCCGGTCCCTTGCTCAAGAGTCCCGAATGAAAACCATTCAAATTCGTGCTCAAGCTTACTTTTAACGTAAAACAATGAGCATGCGGTGCCGAAGCCCAGAGCAACACAAGAGCAAAGGTACCACCAACAGCCACACTGGGAATAGCACATCAACATAATTGGCCACAACATCATCGCCATCATTCTCACCTATATGTCGAAGGGGAGGGGAAGGGGAAGGGGCCCTGTGGTTCTACGGGCTGTGGGTTGCCCCTGGCGCTCCGCCCGTTTGCTAAGGAGAGGTATGTTTTGAGGGGGGTTACGCGGATGTTGTGTGACTGTTTGCTGGGACGAGAGGCCTGGCCGGGGGGGGGGGGCATACCATGGGGGGGGGGGGGGGGGGGCCTGCGACGCGGCGACGCGGCACCATATATACATATTTTTACTTATTTATTTATTTATTTATACGTCCATACAGAGACATATGCAGGGTTTCGTGCAGATGCGTATATCTATATCTATATATATATATATATGTATATATACACATAATATGTATAATAATATATGCATGCGTGCGACGTCTTGTGTTTTTTGTTTGTGCGTGTGCGTTCTTCCGTCCCGGCTGTTGCCCTTGGGGAGCTTGCGCAGCTCCGGGCTGCATGCGCCTGTTGAAGGTGTTTGGGATCTGTGGTGTCCAGTTTCAGGTTGAACTAAGGTGTAAGTTCGCAAAGCTTTACCCCGAGGAATCTCGGTATGCGTATGGGTGACCTAGATAGCCCAAGACAACTAATACAAGTAGGGAGTATGCATTGATTTATCGGGGCCTGCAATTTTTTGTTTGAGGGCATTTCTTTATTATCAAGGATTTTGCTTTAAGTTACAGCGGCATTGATGCTTTTCGAGGTATGTTACCTTCCTGAATTAAGGGGTATTTGGCTTGCTGGGGGAGGAGAAGAAGCGCAAAAGCGCTGAACCGGGAGACAAGCCTGATGCGGAGCCAGCCAAGCGACGCAAAGATGAGCCCCTCGTCAGGTTGCCGTAACGACAATTAGTTCATTTCATTTCGCCGTGTATGATTATAGTTAGTATGTCCCAAGACCTTGTTCTAGTTTTTCAGGCCCCCAAAATAAGCAGATGGGTTGTTCTGCGTACGGTTTCTCGTTAAGGTGCCAGCTGTAGTACAGAAATGCCAACAACGGATTCTAACACCATAGCGTGGATCCTTCGCCAACATGGCCTTGGGATGCTTTGGCCTTAGGCTTAGGAGCCGGTTTGCAAAGGTAGAAGATGTTAGCATCAACACTGATTGACCGCAAACAATGAGTATACCCAAAGCGGAAAGGCGCGCGAGCCATTAGCAGATCTAAGAACCCTGGGATATGCAACATGAGCACGACCAGAACAACTCTCCTAGTCACAGCACCAGTCAAGTAGTCTCATTGCGGTATACCCCGAACCAATCACTGCATTTTCAATTGAGCTTGTTTCAAGCGATAAGCCCTGTTTCACCCAGGTCTGCCGAGTGGTGAGTCATGGAGGGTTATTCGGACAGGGCTTGCAGTGTTAGGGTTTTTCGGGTTTTGGGGGGGTCAAAACGGGGTTGGCTATGATTCTTCGGTGCCCAATGCCTGCAACGATTATCGGGAACTGTTATGATTCACAGCTGCAAGCTTCAAGTATGCATGAAAGGGGGCATGATGTGCACCTTTGGCGCTAACGCATGTACCCAAGACACATAAACACATGCAAGGGGCAGCAACAGTAGCTAGATTATGGTAATCAGAATTCGATTAGATCAAGATTGCCAAAGTCAGCATAGAAATAGACATGGGCCCTGATACAGCCGCATCAAGTAGCCACCTTAGTAGTGGAGCACTACTTTACGCAAAAACCAAACGGCAACACAGGAGCGTCGTAACATAAAGCTTGATGTAGATACGTGATAGACGAGCATACAGCCAACCCCTTCCAACGCCGAGAATGTAACCTGTAGCGTGATGTGTATGAAGAATTCGTATTTCATAGCTTCACGTGCAACCACAACGTAGCACCGTACGAAGACAGTACAGCATAGAGGAATCGAGCAGGCGCTCGGTTTTGATGATGTTCCAGTGTTCCCACGATGCTTCGGCGTTTTTGCTGTGACAATATACTATGACACATGTAGGCTTTTAATGTTGGTAGCAGCTCAATAGTATAGGGTTCACATAGCCTCTCGAAATCATCAAGAGTTTAAGAATCGTGTTACGCAGCCATGCAGTAGGGAACTGTCGATATGAGATGGCTTTCTGACAATGTGTAGGAGTAAATGTGTAATGGCTACTTTTGCTTTCAGCCTGTTTAGTAAGATCACCCGTCCACGCAGGGATGCCGAGATCATTGACGTTGAGGTCAAGGACATCTCCTTTCCCGCCTTCCCCAGTAGCAGTTGTGACCAGATTCAGGGTATGCGAGGTCCCTGGCGGTTAAAGGGAGTGTCTGCTTGAGCCCAAGAGCAAACAGTTGTCAAGGTGGCAGTCGAGGCCACTTTTGCCCTCATTTCCATGTAAAGCAGCTGCACGTCAGTCCACGAGGTTGTAGAAGTTGCGACACAGTGCTAGTGAAGTTCTGAATCGGCGAGCCGTGTCCGTTGGATAGGCATGGGACTGATAGATTTATGTATGCGTGCGCACACACACAGACATACCGACCCTCTCTCTTTCCCTTTCTGCCTCCCTCCCTTCCTCCCTTGCGCTCTCTTTCTCTCTCTCTCTGTCTCTGTCTCTCTTTCTTTCTCTGTCTTTGTCCCTTTCATAACCCCGCATTTCCTGTAATATCTAGCTTCCAGGTGCTGATTCCAGTGCTGACGACATCCCGAAACACCACATAAGTCGCAAGAGGGTAGCAGGTAGCATCAAGCCCGGCTGTCGAAGGATCCGAAGACTAAAGATGACAAGGCGCAACGATCGGAGGGAGGGTAGGCATTGTTATTTATAATGCTTATATGAATAACAACAATTAGTTCTCGTAACAGTACTAACAGTAAAAACTATAACAGTCAAACTGCCGCTAGCTGTGGCTTCGAGAGGGCCTGTTTCGTGCTATTCTGCAGGGTGGGGAGGAGGAGTCCGGGGTGCAGTTTGGCTTCGGTGGACCCATGGTTCAGTTCGCAGAAAGGCAGATAGGAGTCCGCGTGGTCAAACCGTATGGGGCGCAGGGTTTCAGGTACCGAATGCCTGGGAGAGAGAGAGGGTTCATCAGGCTTTCCCGGAAGCATATTTCAAGCACATGCAGCTCTGTATCGACTGGACAAGATAGTGTGGTAGCCATGCGAACATGGCAACATAAGCTCGTCTGAGGCCCTCAGCAAGGATGGCGGCGCAAAGCCGAGCAAGGAAGAAGTGGTTCCCGTCAAGCCCAAGCAGAAGGAGAAGGCACGACCCGGAAGACCCCCTAGCCGCGCCAAGCGCATCACATGACGCTTCTATAATAAGTACAAAACGGGGTATGTGCTTAACTCCCTAGACCCTATAACCTTAACTTCTACACCCTAGCTCTTAACCCACAGCCGCAAGAGCCTAGCATGCGCCTGCATCGGAGATTGCTGCGAGCCCAGGAGCAGAAAAAAGATAAGAAAGCAGCTAAGGACACCAAGGACGTTCCGGTGAAAACCATCCTGTCAGAGTCGCAGCACGCCCGTGACAGACTTGTTAGCATAGGAAGGCGGTTTCGTATTGCTGTGTGCCGGGCTTGGTGAATTTCCTTTGCTTTTTTGAATTTCTTCCGCAGCCGTACCCACGGGAAGGAAAGGTCCTCGGACCCATGGTGCCAGGCTGCCATGCGGTCGTCGCCGGTAACTGCACAGGGAACCGCGCATGTGGCCTCATGGTCGCCTGTGATCCAAACGCGGCGGCTCCTATCCCCTACACGCTCTCCTCTTCGCCATGCGAGGAAGCCGATCCAATTTGCGCCATCGTGGCAGCAGATGGTCCGTTCATCTGCGGCCTCAGCGGCATCCCTGCCTAACGGAGCTATTTGCTTCCCTTTGCAGACAAGCATTTCGGAAGGCAAGATGGCCTCGCCCACCATGTCCACCACGACGACCACGGGTAGCACGGAGGCGAGCACCCCACAGGCCGGAGGATCGACTTTGCTGGGGAAGGGACCTGCAACGCCCTCCACCAGGTCGAGTCGGGGTTCAATGGCGCCCCTTAACATTCCCATCGCGACAGCAGTGCAAACACAGCCGGGCCCACCGGTGCAGTCCGCCAGAGGTGCCGCCGTGCAATCGCAGCGGGGGCCTCCGGCACAGTTTAGGTCGCCGGCTTTGAGTTTCCGGGAGATCAGGCCGCGCAGGTCAGCCTCAATCGGACCGCTACGCTCGCCACTCACCTGTCCCAAGTCTCCTATTACCTCACCACGACCGACACCTGCTTTGGTCCTGACAGAGGCTATGGCGCATTCGAGGTCATTGCGAGTAGGCGGGCCTGCGGGGAGAGAGGGCCGCTTTCTCATGTAATTATATGGTTCGCAGGCACTTCCCTCACCTGTTTGCTACATGAAGTTGTAGGAACTCTTTGCCCTCAAGGTGTTGGCAGCAGAGGGCTGGGCACACCGTCTGTGCACAACTCGGGGCAGCTTGTGCGAATGGCGAGCACTGCCGAGACTCGAGAAGTAGCATCGCCCGTAACAGGGGGCAGTGTGCAAATGCCGCTTCCCCAGAGTTGACAGACATCTCCGATCAGCGAGGTATGTTGATTTGCGTTCTTAGCCATCAGTGAACATGAGCGGTTTGTTGAACGTCCTCTGCGGATTGGATTCTGCAAAATGGCTAGTTAAGGTCTGTAGCGACACCCCAGGGACGATCCACACCAGCCCTGGACGGCATGGAGGCATGGGCATGGGTGGAAGCGGTTCGAGTCGCGTGGATCTCGAAATACTGCCTTGTCAACCCGGACATGCAGTTCCGACCATTAATGGTCGCATACCACAGGTAGCGAGAGAGCGTTGTTCTGGTCGAGCGCTGAGTGGAGGCCGCGCTCCTGCGTCTTGTGCAAGCGGACGCGTCTCTGAAGAAACTCGGCATTCGGCGGTTGTCCCCGGGACTGTGTCTCGGCTGCAAAACACCTTTTACTATCTTAGCTCCTACTTACATATTTTACGCTATACTACTTCTACAGCTGCTGCTACTACTACACTATGACGACGACGATACTATTACTACTACTACTACTACTACTACTACTACTACTACTACTACTACTACTACTACTACTACTACCACTACTACCACTACCACTACCACTACCACTACCACTACCACTACCACTATCACTACCACCGCCAGTGCCGCTGCCACTGCCACTACCACTGCCGCTCTCACGTCGACTACAACGACGACGACAGCTACCACAAGTGAAATGAAAGGTATTTGGAGGTACCTCATGCGAAAAAGAAACTACAGTGCTCTCATGGATGGCTTCGCGCAGCCGAAACTAACCTTCATTAACTGCCTGCATCTATAGGAACCCTTACTAAAGATCTCTTATTGTAACCCTTGTAGAAACCCAAAGGTACGTTATCGATGGCCGCCGCGTGCGCTTAGCCTGGGGTGCGAAAGCAGAGCTCCTGGCAAGCGAGGAAAAGCTGACGGGCCAGGATCCGCGGGCTTTTTCTGTTGGGGCTAAGGGTACACGGTTTAGGATTTGAGGCACTATAAGGTTTCTAAGAGGGCTTGGTGTTACCGATTCAGGGTTTCGGGTCAAGCTTTCGAAGAAGGAATGGATGTGCGGGTGGAGGTTTCCGGGGGGACGTAGTTATGCCGTGTATAATACATTTTTGGGGGTCTGCGGCTTAGGGATGCTTAGGGCATAAGGCATATCAGGTTCATGACGGTTTTAGCAGGTGAGATTCACAACAGAATTGAGGGCTTGAGGTATTAGGTTCAGGATTGTTAGGGTTTGCTGTAGGGTTTATAGCATATATAGCTTGGCTGATGATGAAAGTGCCGGCATGTCTGTCTTTCTGAGCTGTCTTTCAGCAGATCATCATAGGGAAATGTCAGTGCATACATTTTGATTCTGCGGCTCACTGACGTTCTGAAAATCATGCTTTCGTCTGGTTTATGTTGGTCGGTCGGTAAAGGTCTCCGTGGATGAGGATGGTAAACACCGCAATGCAAAGCCCAGACAAGCCTTGAGTGAAGTGTCCTGAAGCGTGTGCCGAAGTCCAAAGTCACACTCAGAAACCCTTTCATGCGCAATCCCTCGCAGGAGCCCCGATAGAACCGCTTACAGGATTCCCAGAAGCCCTTTCGGTGCCCTTCCCGGAGCCCACCAAAGCGAAAGAGCCATAAACCTTAGAAGCTCAAACTCCATAAACTCCAAAAAGAAAGCCTCAAACGAAACCCTGAAAGGGATCCTCCTTCCCAGGATCCCTCCAATGGTCCTGCAGTGCCCTTGACGAGCTATCTTCGTCAGGCCGAACTCGGGTGCAGGGTTCGTGGTGGTTTCATTTCGATGATGATGATGATGATGATGATTCTTAGTAGTATAGTAGTACTATGATCGTTCTATGAATTTTGTTGTGGTTATCAGGACCGGTATGATTGTGGTTATGATGATGATGCTGATGATGATGTCCGGGCTTCTATCAAACGGCTTCCCGTATTACGGACTTTACAGGGGTCAGGGACAGTAGGCTTGGGGACTGAACCAATACAGGAACAAAAAAGTCTGCTTCTCTCGGCACCCTCCTCAACAAGAAAGGGGAATCCCTCAGTCCTAGAAGAACACCACAATATCTTACAAGAACCCGTCAAATTTGGTAGATTGTTGTGTCCAAGAAAGAGAGGACATTGTAGCGTCTAGATCCCCAAAAAGCTTCAGGCCGCAGACGTCAAGGCCTCGTTGGAAGCTTCGGCTGTGTCGCGGATCCCACAGGCCACCTAGCAGGGATCGGGGCTAGAGGGGCTTAAAGGGTTTTGTAGCGCGTTGCTTGCTTTTAGTAGGGCTGTGGTAGATGTGGAAAGCCGCGGTTACGGGATTCTACACAGGGGTTAGTATTTAAATGTTTTGCACGGCTTAATGAATCAGTTCCCCTATATTGGGTTGAAGTTGCAGGGCCTTCCTTGAGATGCTCATACCTTTACCCGCCAACCTAGCTCCTTCTAGTGGGTAGCTACTTCACTTTCAGGCTGAAGAAGGTCCCTGTATTGATTTCGTAATTCCCAGCTCATTCCAAGCTTCAGGAGAAGCGCCTGTCCTTCGATGCCCCAGGGCTCACGGTCCAGGATCGGGAAAAGGCAGACGCTCGTCTTGAAGCCCAATCCTGCACTTTGCCTCTCTTGTTCAATGTTACGTGTCGCAGTATTGACCGTTCGAGTCACAAGCTCAGTCGTAAATACCTTCGCGCTAACCCAAAGCTCTTAGGCCCTAAACCCCTGAACCCTAAGCCCTAAACCCTAAACCCCTGAACCCTAAGCCCTGAACTTTAACTGGACAATCGGCTCGCAGTCTGCGTTTCTGTCGGCGCAAGATGTCCGACTGCCTGCTTCCCAAACTTGTGACCAATATGGGGGTTGCCGACAATAGGGGATTCCAATATAGTACCCTAAATAGCAGGATCCTTGTTATAAGGACCCCCAAAATAAGGTACCCTTAATTTTCGGAAACTCCCATATGTGATGTTAACATGAACCCTGCGCCAACCCCTTAGACAGCCGCAGCCTCAAAGTTAAAGCGCAAGCGCCGAGGATTTGCGAACCCGATGTGCTCTCATGAAGCAGGCCGTTGAGGAGGTGGGTGTCAATTAGAGGGGCTTGGGTTTGACTGCTCCTGAGGCTATAATTAGAGGGTCTCCATGAACAGGAAAGGGTTTAGGGCTTGCGGTACAGTGGCAAGAGAGTTTAGGGAAGTGAGGTGGCGAAATCTCGAGGCAATGTGTCTTGTTTACCGAACAACCTCCTTTGCGCAGCAAACTCCTCTTCTTGATGCGAGCACTGGAAAGCAACGCCCCCTAATCGATTGCAAGGCTCGCCTGCGAGCAGAAGCCGCAGAAGCCTACGAGCCCCTTTGCTGAAGCGAGCTTCCAAATTCGATTTCATGCCTCTTCTGATATGTGAGAGTTCGAACAGCCTCAACACAAAACTCTAAGAAGTCTGTGCATCTCGGCTCTTTGTGACCCCTGGCTGGGTTCGGGGCCTCGGCATTGCCTTCCAGAGCATTGCCACCACCACAGAAAGAAACAGCAGCACGACAAGACGACAACAGGCGCAGCGACGACGACGAGAAACAACCCAACCACAATAATTTCCAGAGAACATTATGCAACGAACTACGGGCACCCAGCAGCAATTGCGGACGGGGGCGAAAGCTGGAAAGCAGCACGCTCGGAGAGTTCAGGCTTTTGGGATCTTTTGGAGTTGAGTTTTCGGGTTTGGGTTTGCAGTTGAAAGTTCCACGTCCCACTTGCAAGCTCCCTCCAATCTTGAGTACATGCCACAAAGCTTATACGAAACAGCAACACATCACGAACAACCGTCACACTAGGTGGGCCATAAGATAAGACAGCAGCCAGAAATCATCACTAGGCTCAACTGGGGTTTGGAGTACCATACCGTTAATACTTTTTTTACAGGAACCAGTATGAAATACAAGTTTATACTTTTTCTCCTTGGTTACTTAGAAGCCCAGTCAATAGATGTTAAGCCCTGTCGCATATGATTACGGTATAATGGGCCCCAAAGCCCTCTTCTGATTATAATGGCCCCTACATGAGATGTTAAGCCCTGTCGCAGGAAAGGGGTGACCTATGCCAACCCGGGTTCGCCTCCCCGGTCCATGCCGTTGACCGTCCCGGACGCAGTTGGCAAGTGGTGCAAGCGACTCGGAGTGGGAAAGTATAGTAGTATAGTAGTATCGTAGTTTAGTAGTACCGTAGTTTAGTAGTATAGTAGTATAGTAGTATAGTAGTATGAATTGTCATGATGTTTGACTGGGAAGGATCGAACATGTCGACAGGAAAAGTCAAGAACAGAAGCGGGACAGTGGGGCATTTACTTGATGATGTCCCGTTCAGCATACGAATCGTATCGGTCCTGACACGGTCGGTAGCTGATACGACTGCAACTTGTCCTCTTGTCCCTCAGGTGGCATGTTGTAATTACCCTTTGTCAATGTGAGGGCGAGCCTGGGTTTTGAACACGCAGCTGAGATGCCATGACTTCAGTCGTTGTAGGTGGGTTTAGGGTTTGGGGGTTGTGGGTGGGTGCCTAAAGCTTTGGACAAGGTTCTGCGAACGTGGCCAAACGTTCCTTGAAGATGCTGCGAACCACGTTGGTAAACCTCTACGACCCTGTTTGGTAACCCTGCTTATACCCACCTACATCATAAGGAAAGCCGAGCGACCGGCGTCATGCGTGCGTCTGGCAGAGGCGGGGAAACTCGGGTTATCCAAGCGTGCCGCTTTGCCAGTTTGCCTACGGGCGTTATGTTTAGTTTACTTTTTTAATGAGTCTGTGGGAACGGTTGATACTACCGGCAGTTTCATACGATTCGTTTGGGAAGGTTGCACAATTCAGAAAAGCTGGTCTCCTTTGTGTTTTGTGGTCAAAGGCGCATGAGAACAGATTAGGCTGAGCCATCGTTTACATGGACATGAAAACGCAAAGTTCGAGGCGGCCTGCTTGAAAGGTCTCAGGTTTCAGCAAGAACTAATCGACTAGTACGTTATGACCTCGTAAAGGTCTAAATATATACCACTGATGTACTTGTAAAATTGAAAGTCAAGAGGAATTAAGCATCCACTACGACTGCCCCCAGGGGATTAGGTCGAAACCCTAGAAACCCCAAACCCGTAATACACACCCTATAAGTCTGTCTCTCTGCCTCTCTCTCTCTCTCACTCTCTCTTTATATGTATATATATATATGCCCTAAACTCCAGAACAAGAGCCGTATCTTGCGAAGGCACAAAGCCAAGCCCCAGCCATAAACTATCCTGAGCCCTCACGCCGGCATCAGAAAGGCTTGAACTCCGAAACCTCCAAGCCTCATGGCTGAACCTGCAGAACGACCCTAATACAAGTGCATTATTAATTACCTAACTATTGTAGTTACAGCTTAATATATCCCAAAAACGGTTATGGCCCCCCCAATTACTGGTGAAGGCCTTGGCTCGTCTAGAAAGCAGGGGCGCGCCGAAGCTTGGCCGAAGCCGATCACGTGAACCGAGAAGAAATGAATTCACTGGCTTATCAGGAGTTTGGTAGGCTTCGGGCCATACTGTAGAGCTTTTGAGTTTCTAGCTGTGCTGGGACAAATCAACTTGAGGAGGTTTGGGGCGGGGTTCGGACGGCTGCCTCACTCCGTTTCTAGAGTTACTGGTGCTACCCATATGCTAGTGATTGGATTGGAATGTTCATGTTAGCTGCTACTGTTATAAAACTGGGAGCTAGTGCTACACTATATCTATAGCTATTCCTCGGTCCTATCTTGCAGCGCTAAACCCTGAACCCTGCACCCAAATCCCAAAAATCTACGGTATACCCTAAACCCTAAACCGATAGATGACTGCCGGGAAAGGGGTCCCAGAGCTTGTGGAAACAGGAGTCTTCCATGGGGATCGGCAAGGATCCTCCAAAATCCTCAGTAACTTATCTAATAGAGGGGCTTAAATAGTATAGTATAGTTGGGCCCCCAAACCCTGGTCTAATTATTACAGCTCCTATGTTAAACCTGCATCCAAAACCGAAAGAAGCGTACGTCTGACACCTTAAGCCCTCCAAAAAGCAACGAATAAGCAGCCTAGGAAAGTGGTTGAGAGCGACAGCAGCTCAGACGACGTGACCGGACAAAGCATGTCAGTTCTATCGACTTTATGGCTGCCAGAATTGAGGGTTTAGAGTGCTCGGAGTAGGGTGTGCCGTGGGGTCTCAAGCTGAGTCGGAGTCCGCAGTTTCGCCCAGGGCATTCCATCGTTCTAATTCGGGAGACCTTGGCCTTTACACCTGCATAGGCCCAGGCTGGGCGGTTCGTGGAATTCGAGGTCCCTGATATATGCTCCAGGGTGCATGTCTTCGGTACCTAAGGACGACAGCTGACTTCAGTCTTCACTTCTGACCTCCATTGGATGATGCCGGCGTCTCCGTATTTCGTTGGCTGGTAGAAGAATGTTGCAGCAGGCAGCCGAAGGCAGATGAAGCAGACGAAATGCGAAAAAGGATACTACAAATGATCCAGCTGTATTGTTGGGTCAAATTTCAAGCCGTGCGATTGAGTGAAGACTCGGTATATAAACATGCCTTCTACTCGGCCTGTCAGCTTCTATAGCACGTGTTAGCGGTGTCCCGGATAAAATTCTATAGACGGTGGCTCCTAACACTGAGAAGCGGCATCAAGACCAGTATGCCACAGAGTAGCATGCAAGCGACAGACACACAGTCTTGAAGTACGGGGCACCGGTAGAGAGGATAACCTTGGTCAGTGGGTCTTTGGTCACATCCATGGTTGCAAGGCACCTTTGGCCGAACATTGTGCAACAGCCAGACTGGTGGTTGATACTTTTTGTGGCTGCTTCCACCCACTGCAATTCAAAGCAATTTGCCAACTGGCAGAAATAATCAGGCACTGCCCTGTTTTGCAAGGTTTCACACGGCCCTTCAGTGTTGAAGGCATCAGTGTACCATAGATTCAGACTCTACGCCCAAAGCAGAAGTACATGCCCACCGCAAAAAGAGGAGGAAGGGTTGGAGCGCCGTGATTCTCTGCTGGTATGTCAGAACCGATGTTGTTCACGGGCAGGTGTGTCGTCGCGCAAAGGTGTTTTCCCTGTGCCGTGTTTCAGTTTGCCGTAGGCGTCTCGCTGACGGATCGTGGGTTTCGGATGAGCGATTTAGGTGCTTACCGAACCTTCATACACAGTGTTCCAGCAGTGGATGGAGTATCAGGAGCACGAAACCCTACTCGTCGGATGGCTTCAGGCTGGCATCCTGTAAACACGAGGCAATCGGACAGCTTGAAGAAGTCAAGATGACCTGTTCTAAACTGCTGCTCCTGCAGATAGCAGAATTTAGCAACCGAGCGGTTTTGTGTACTTGGTCGCAATGAAGAAATACATACATACATATATACTTATACACACATGTACGTATGTTGCCAGGTCAGCCTGCGCTCGCTGTGTATAGTCATTGTGTATCGGTAGCTTCCGTGGCAGGCCAGCCTGTTCCGATTCTGTAAGAATGCACCCACTCAGCAGTGTTTCCCATGAGTTAAGACTCATTGCTGGGTCTAGATTGGTACAGATTGCAAGAGTATCTCGTCCTACCGCTCCCCGAAGCCCACACACTGTCTTGCCCCGCCTCACAACCCCTGAAACCCTGCAGGACGGTGACAGCAAAGCCCCGGAGAAAGCGAAGCCGAGCCAGGGCGATGCCAGTCCTGTCGCAGGCCTTGCAAGGAAGTATAAACCCTGTCCCTAGGGATCTAAGGACTCATATATTAAGGCTTTTGGGCCCGAAGACCATACTATTTAAGGCTTTTTTTGGCTATTTTGATCCCTAGGGTGTCAGGCCCTTGAAAGCCTCCGTGCTTCGCCACCTGTCCTGCAAGTCCCCTTTCTAGTCGATGGAAGGGCCTTAATACTTAGAATAGGGTTGTGTGGTTTCCTTGTTGTAATTCTAGTATAATATAATTAGCCCCAAACTCTGTTCTAATTATTAAGTCCCCGACATTACCCCTCCAAACCCTTCAGGCCGCTCATGAGAGGGTTGTCCGCGAGGGCTTAGGGTCAGTGGCACACACCGCCTTGACCCGCAACACCCCGCAGTCCAAGCCGATACCACCTAGTCGGCCAAGCGGTTGGGAAAAGCTGTCATGGCCAGTGTTGCAAGTATTCCATGAACTCGCGACCGAACGCAGATCCTAACTACCCTAAACCCCTCGTCCAGGCCTTAAGCAGCTCGGGAATGTTGACGAGCTCCGAAAGCAACTGGAGAAGGAACGCCGCTTTGAGAGAAGCTTCGGGTTTGGGACTCAGGGCTTAGCGTCTCGGGTCCCCAAGGGTCCCAGGTACTGTGGTGGGGAATACTTCCCCAAAATCAGAATCGTAATTCGAAACCCGAAGGTTTCTGGCAGGCCCCCCCCCCCCCCCCACCCCCCGTGGTATGCCCCCCCCCCCCCCCGCCCCCGAAGCCAGGCGTCTCGTCCAATCAAACAGTCACAGGTCATCCGCGTAACTCCCCCCCAAGCCAGGCCTCGCCTCTCGCCTTGGCAATCGGGGGTGGGTGCGGGAGGGATAACCCACAATAGTGGAACCACAAGACAGCGAACCACAGGGGCGGGCTGGGGAAGGATAATCAACACAGGGAACCACCGGGCCCCTTCCCTTCCCCTCTCTTCGAGCACAAATGAGAATGTTGTGCGCAATGATGTTGATGTGCTAGGCCCAGTGTGGCTATTGGTGGTACCTTTGCTCTTATGTTGCTCTGGGCTTCGGCACCGCATGTTCATCGCTTTATCTAGTTGAAAACCGTGCTTGGGCAAGAACACCATATCGACCGTTGTCATTCCAAGCCAAGTTTCGGTTGGGTTCGCTACAAGTAAGCTTGAGCACGTATTTGAATGGTTTTCATTCGGGACTTTTGAGCAAGGGACCTGATGAGAGTGCGGATGGGGATCATGAGCACCATCTTCGTCATTATCATCACCATCATATTCATCACTATCATTTGGCCTTGGGGCTCAGGGCAGGTCGGAGTTCAATAGAAGTGTATCACATCCTACGGTCCAAACCCTTAGCAACCGGACGCATAGCCATGGTCGGGGGCGCAGCCGACCGCAACCACAGGGGGGAGGGGCAGGGGGGAACCCACACCACAGGGAACCACAGGGGGGAAGGGGGGGATACCATGGGGTGGGGGCGGGGAGGGGGGGCCTAGCAGCGCTGCACCATATATTGGTACTTTGGACCCTTTGGGGGTGTGGGGGAGTGGTCACTCTGTCCCAGGCGCGAGTAGGAGCTGGTTCAAGAGGGGTATGAGGGAAGTGCTTTAGAGGGATTTTCGAAGTAGGGTTTAGTTTGCATGGCGTACTTGAGGGTCTTGGGATTTGCGGGTCTGTGCATCGAGTTTTAAAGTTTGCGAGTTGGGTTCTTAGGTCCTCAGGAAGCCAAACTTGACCTGAACTGCTCCCGGACCTCATGCGCCACTCGACACTTTGTAAAGATATATATACATATATATATATATATATACGTGTGTTTGTGTGAATTCATATGGGGTATATATATATATATATATATATATATAGATTGATTGATACTGTACTATGTATAACTGTCTTCTTGCCACGTCATCCCTCAGCATCGCGACCTGCATCTCAGCATGCAAACCACCAAGAAACGCGACCTAATGACCTAATGCTGCTGCGGGGGTCTGGGTGGACACCGTGGCAACCCAACCACCGTGCTTCGCCCGACCTGCGCGGAACTCTGGTCGCCGCATTTTTATGATTACAAAGACGCGTACTCCTACGAGTAGGGGAGACGATCAAGATGGCGAATTGGAAGCCATACCGATGAATTGTGTTGCACCACACATCCCACATCCGGACCAAGGAAACAAGCTTCGGCTTTGGATCATCAAGGCCAAGCAGGAGTGGGAGGAGAAGCAAGATCAAAAGGGCGGCTCGGACAGAAGTGCTGCCGTGCTTTCAACATCTACCCTAAGGCTCCATAGTAGTTCCTTTTAAGGATTACCTTATAGGTTTTTGTTCGAACCCTAAAGGGGAACCTCTGGGTAGGGAAGCTGGGGTGTCGGGCCTGGGGCTAAGGGCTTGTAGGGATTACGGTCGATAGGGTTGCGGGCTGATGTTACAAGGTATAAGGTTTTCGGGTGTTGAAAACGAAACGCACAGTCACTCAGAGCTTTTGTTAATGAGCACGATACCTTCGAAATAGTTGCAGCTTCCGCTACAGTGCTGCTCGACCCCCCAAAAAGCGGACCCTCGCTCCTGAAACCTTGACCTATCAGATCCTGCACCCGAGTTCCGAGTCCAATGCAACAGTGACCTCAAATGCAACCCACGGAATGTTATAGTATATTATGTATACAGTCCATCAAAGCATACTATAGTGTATCATGATCCTCGAAAGCGGAAGCTTCACCTGATAAGGGCACCGTGGCGAAACCAACGACCAAGAGCCTTCGCCCTAGCTTGCAGCTGGATCCTCTCGCAGTGCAGATGCGCAGCTTGCTGTATATGGGGGCATCGAGCCCGAGCTGTGGCAGCAGGGGTGCTTCTGCCACGTTGAGGTACTACATCGCTTCCATCGGCGAGACGCTGGGTCCCAATCGGGATTACCAGGCAGAGGCCAGCATTGGAGCCATGGCTACAAGGCTAGGTAGGTCTCTGGGACATTTTATGTTTGCTCTGATTGGGCAAACGAGGATCTTAGCTGCTTTTATTTTTGAAAGGCTGTAATAGAAAGCTTCTGGAACTTTGTCTTAGAGCAGACTTGCTCATCTTGAGGCTGGCACGTGAGGGATTCCAGAGCCCGTCCAAACAAAACTTGCTCTCCGCGGTGATGGTTAGATGGTTGCATTTTGTCTGCAGATCTCCTGTGGAAGTCAGTCAAGAGTTGCAAACGAGGATGTCCATGTCATCCTCGTTGCGTGTAGGCCTGACTGCTCGGGAATCTGTGACTCGCGTCCAAACATGGTTGAGGTCCGGGTGGCATGGATGCTTGTGTGATGCACAATGGTGCAGCCAAGGAAAAGGCGTCTTCTCCAGCGTTTTCCGCTGCAAGCACTTTGGCAAAACTTAGTCCACAAGAACATCGAGCCATATCTGACAGTACGATCGAAGCCCGTCAGTTGCCATTTGTCCATTTTGGTCTATCACCTCGCCCTCCTGTTCTGATAGAGATCTGACCTCCCATAGCAGAACAGTGAGAGGAACCAAGTTCTCTTGTTCCCTGTGCAATGTCGTTGCGTCGGATGCTGGGCAGGGTTATGGCTTGGCATTCTGAAGGCAGAAACAAGGCCCAAACTTTGCACAAGCCTACATGAGATTTTGAATCAACGAATTATTACACAGAGATCTTGCGTGGATGAAGTCGCAGACACTTGTACATATCAAATGTTAGGATGAATTATAAGCTACCCATAACAAGGAAACCGTGTCGTTTAGTATTGGCACCTGTTTTGGTAGCCCGCAGAAAGATCTGCAACACTTGGAGGTTCATGGGTTGGGGGCTTATAACCCCACTTATAACTACCCATGAACATCCAAGCAGGAGTCCAGAGAAGCCCCCACATGAATGCCCAGGCACATTGGGACGAAGACCGATGTGGCCCTGAAGTTTGTACGGCGTGCTGCCTTTCTTTAGTCGTTTTGGGGTTTAGGGTTTAGGGTCAAGTCGTCCAATGTCCTGATGCAAAAAGGGTCAAGTCTCAGGTGCGAAGAGTTTTGTTGCAAAAAGCTTCTTTGTTCATGGGAGAGGTTTTTGAAAGCTGACGCCTCGTGGATGTAGGTTTAAGTATGGGGTGTTGCTTTTGTTTCAGGTGCTTGGGCACAGGATGACTTGATGCTTTTGCAGCCTGTCTGTTCTGACGCAGAAATAAATGCAAGCCTCATCTTCTTCGGTCATCCTTACTATGATTTCCTTGTATAAGCCCCTAGCCCGGCAGGTCATGGGAGGTTTGGGTAAGCCTTAAAATTAAACAGTATTTCTTTTTCGGGTTCGCATGTGTTGAAATCGGATCGGAGAGTATAGGGATTTCGGTATTCGCACTCGTGGATTTGATTGCAGGCTTTTCGGCCAGGGGTGTGAGGTGTCGCGACTGCGGCTTCGCATTTCTAGGTGGCAGAGGGGTCGGAGGTTTGGCGCGCAGGAATTCGGATTGCACTTGTCCGCCCGACAGTGTTTGTTGCCGGGCCTGCCTCAACGTCAATCAGCTTCCGGTTGGTTGTTCGCGCTCAAGTTTTGTACAGTGTCGCTCTAGACTGCTTTGGTATACGTGCTCTTGACGGCAACACCTAGCTACAGGCTCCTCTGCCATGTAGTATCGAAGTGTCGCTTGCTATGCTTCACGTTGGCACTGGAATTGCCAGGCTTGAATTCACAGGCTTGTACGATACCTATAACACGAGTATCTGAATCCTCAAACCCAAATCCCAGAAACTTTGACCGCTGCAATCGTCCCTGCCTCCGAACATGCGACCCCAAACTCAACAGGCTAATAAGTACGATCATGAGATTTTGGAGCCTGCGCTAAGTAACTTGTCTTCGTTGGCCCAGGTCAAACAAAATGATGCGCAAGGCAGCAGAGAAGGAGGCGCAACGTGGAGCCTTGAACGTTGGATGCGCGCTCTGGAGTTGTCTATAGGGCAGGGCTGTCACGTTGAAGGGGCTTCTCCAGGAGCTTTCAGCCGTGGCAGGTCCAGGATGGACTGCAACGGTCTGAACAAGAGGTGGTTGAGCAGTATGTAGAATTGAAACGGTCCAAATTGAGTTAGGTGCTTTCCAGTCGACTTCTACAAATAACGGTACAATCCTCAGAAAGCTATCTATATAAATAAGAGTTATGAGAAAACCAAAACTTGTCGCCATGTGACCAAAGCCGGCCTGAATGTCACCCGTATGTGAGCTGGCTGACGGTCGGAGCGCCAGCTTTTGACAACCGCTTCAGGGCAGGGTTCAAGTGCTTCTTGTGGCTCAGTCAGTTCATGGGTGCGTCAGGCAGAACGAGCAGTGCAACATTGGAGTATTAATGGATAATGAAAGGGAGACCCATGCCTACTGGGACAACATGTGTGTATGCCCCGATGCGGCAAGCGGTACCGTCTTGACCACGTGAGGCGTGCTATGGAACCCAAAACCCTAAGCCGACTGCAGGTGGAGACTTATCGCAAGTTGGCCAAGGTGGCTGCGAAGGACATACCACTTCACCGAGACAGCCTGTACATTGTCTCCATGTTTCTGTATGTGTGAGTTCCTCCCTCTCTCTATATGTATATATGTTCTCTCTCTCTCTCTCTCTCTCCCTCCCGCCCGCCCCCTTTAAAAATGGAGAGAAATACAAACATAAATATCAACATATGTTTATATGTACATACATCTACATGTAGATGTGTTTCGCAGTTCTTGTGTACTTGTCTTTGTTCATGTTTGTGCCTATGCACACATACATTGGTACAGACATGGTGGCATAGGTACGTGCAGACATGTGTAGCGAGCTGGCTGGCCAAATGTTTTTCTGTGCAGTAGAGGCAAACAGAGAGACCGGTCGTATACTAGATAGATCGACAGATAGTCAGGTGGGTCGGTAGGTAGGTATAGGTAGGTAGGCATGCTGAGACTCCACAAGTAGCCCAAACTAGGTAGTAAAGCCCGCAGTAGGTATTATTTGTGTATCGTTTAGGCACTGGGAGCTTTTGTGGTAGCCAGGTACATACATAGATAGATAGATACTTTGCCACATAGACAGATATGCAGATGTGTGCCGGTGCGGTGACACTTATCCCGAAATATGGAAGATAAGCGCACGACGTTCCTGGGATGTGTTAGTGTGTATGTAACTATACACATGAGCATACATGCATTACATGTACATGTAGATGCATGTGTACTTAATGTGTGCAAGCACGGGATCGCGACTTGAGAAGCCGGTTTCAACCAGCTGAAGCTGTACCTGCTTAGCCCCAAGTCGTTTGGCAGCTGGCCTCCTCTTGCTAAGTCATGCATCCTCATGCTTGCATTGCTGCGGTATGGACCGCAGCCCTAGCAGTAGTGCCAGGCCCACTTGTCCGCTTAGTCGCACCTGCAAGAGAGTTTCACCATCTCCGTGCCAGGAGGATCATGAGGGTGCGCAGTACATCATGCTGCTTCCCGGCTTGGCAACAGAAGAAGCCTGTGTGTTGATGGTGAAACAAGAGACAATTCTTGACGCCTGCTGCGATGTGTATGGATCGACAGCACCTGCTTAAAGACTGATGTTCATGCTAAACGCAGTGCACCGTCCATGGTCATGTCATGTCATGTCATAGCTGGCCATCCTTTGTTTCCAGTTGTCAAGCTAAGAAGGGTTGTACAGTATTGGACAAAAGCCACGGCATAAGAGTTGAGACACGCATTTCCGTAAAGCTGGCAAGGCCACTGGGCAAACAGGAAGGTCTCAGACTGTGAACATCAGACAACATGCTCCGGCGCCCGAGACCCCTGAACTTTAAGACCTGAAAGCCGTGTCTTGCTTAGCGTTTGCTTGTTTACGAGACTTGTTCCAAGCAGTACCCTTATTCCCTTTTTGTAGTCCTAGGTTCCTTGTTAAGGTGCCCAATACCAACAAGGGAGCCCTTTTTATTGAGTTAGTTACTGTAAAACAAGCGGAGTTCGACAGATAATTGATCGCTATATCACGCAGGCCCGAGTAGCCTACAAGAATGACGAAGGCATAATTAATGAATCTAGCTTATTTCATTTGTTTGTATAATTGTTTATTTGCTTATCATAATGTTATTGTATAAGAAAAATATTTGCTAAATTTGAATATTGTCATTGGATACTAATAGAAGTTTAATCTTTAATCTCATGTTCGTTATTACGATACTGGTTCGTTATTGTCGATGTTCATAATCTTGATTATATGTTATCTTATTGTATATAAGTCTCTATATGAAGTCAAGCAGGGATACCCAAATAGCAATCCATATAGAACTATGTAGTGTTTGCTTGTGTGTGTACGATATGAAGTCTGCACTCAAGGTGACGTCGCTGTAGTTCTGATGCGCCTCGCATACCCACAAAGCTTCTCATCATCATGAGAACAAAAAGTGCTGATGTGCAAGTGTGGTTTTTCGCACTGCTATCTAGTCGTATACGTTGGCCATGCTACGTTATGTCCCTGGGAGTGCGCATCTGCCGTGATTTACGCGCGAGTCTTTCGAAAAAACCAAAAAAAACAAAAAAAAACAAAGAAACCAAAAAAAACAATTATCAGAGACTCCTGGACTGAGGTGTCCATGGCCGGAGAGTGTCAGATCTTTGGTTTCTTTGGTTTTTTTGGTTTTTATGGTTTTTTTGGTGTTTATGGTTTTTTTGGTTTTTATGTTTTTTTTGGTGTTTATGGTTTTTTTGGTTTTTATTGTTTTTTTGGTTTTTATGGTTTTTTTGGTTTGTCTGTTTTTTTGGTTTTATGGTTTGTTGGTTTTTTTTGAAAGACGCGCGCGTAAGTCACGGCAGAGGCGCACTCCCAGGGTCCCCCGTTCTGTTTTTATTCCTAGGTTGCTGGGCATCCTAGATCAAGTATCCCCTCTACACTCCAAATGCTAGCCTCCCGCAAACCTCAGACCACTCCAAGAGGAGCCCAGCACGTTTGTTTGAAAGAGCCGAAACCAGTGGTCCAGAAGCCGCGACCCAAAGCAACGGACAAACCCTAAACTGGCCCTAAACGGTCTAAGGGTTTGGCTTTAAAGATTTAAAGAATTTTGGAGTGTGGGTCCAGAGTGTTGGGTTGCTAGCATTTTCAAGCCCATCCCAAAAGCCCCTTACCTAATGGCCCAAAGGAAGACCCTCAAGGCTGAACAGGAAACCCAACTCGGAGGGACTAGTGCGTAAAGGCTCTTCGGCAAGTTTTCATGCACGCAAGTCAAAAATGATATGAAGGCGTGTTAACGTATATTAGTGAGTATGCGTACCCGTCCTGAGCCCCCCCAACAAACGTTGCACCTTTGCGTTTACCTTACTCCTATGTCTTGTCCTTGGTTCTAGTCGTTACGCATGGTGGCTGGTCACGGTAGTAACGGTAGCAGTGGGACCTCGAAGCCGTGCCTGCGTCAGCGAGTGTGCGTGTCGAAACACCGAAGCCCCCGATCGTCACGGGACCCGTACACCGTCAAGCCTAAATACTGAACACCCTTAAACCCCCTGAAACCGCGAAGCCCTGAACCCTATGAATCCCGACACCCAAAACCAAAACCTCATGACCCCATACACCCTGGTAGCAGTAGTAGTCGTCGTCGCAGTCGTAGTAACATAGTAGCCGTCGTAGCAGCAGTGTACTAATGTATCATAAACCAACACTGGGTCTGAGGCTTGCGCCCCCGGAGACCTTCGAGCACCAAGGGCACCTGTGCCTCAGCATGGCTTCGAGACGTTTTGAGCAGGGCTTAGGGCCCCCCAGGGTGTAGAGTTCACTGAATTAAGGTGTTAGAGTTTAGAGCTTGGTGGATAAGACTGTTTACTAGCAATGCTTGGAGGGTTGCCGGAAGGCTACTCCAAAGTCTAAAGTATTCTTTGAGGGCTGTTCAATGGTTTTTTTTCGGGGCTAGACTGCTGCTGCTGCTGCTACTACTACTACTACTACTACTACTACTACCAGTTTGTTTTGTCGGCTTTTTGTGTTGAACTGGTTTTCCGAAGGTTTTACCTGCCGCTGTACCAAGTTCTTACACAAGTGCGGGGCATCTGGTCGTTTTGCATGAGTATCTAGCTGACATCCTCGATAGAAATACATATCCCAGTAGAAAGGCCGAGATCAGATCAGGCTTGATAAGGTATTGACTCCGAACGGTGCTCAACCGTACAGCCCAACACCTTTGAATTTAGAACTCAAGCCCCGAACTCCTGAAGACCTACACCCTTGCAGAACGCTGCCGTAGCCCCCCCCCCCCCACACTGTCTGTAGAGATCCCCTTAAAGTTTTAAAGACACCCTTAAAGAACCGTTTACATTTCTCGCGACGGGTCCGTCAGATGCTCCTTGTAGCAAGAGTACAGAAAGCTAGGTCCGAAGCTGAGCCTGTTCACACCAAGAGCTGCCAAGCCCGAGGTTTAGGGTTCATTAGGGTTTGGGGCCCGAGCTTAGATTTCGGGTCGAAGTCTCCTCCAGCATGACGGAACAGAAATCCCCACCAGCACCCTCCACAGAGGCTTAGCACCAAGCATAGCATGGGTTTCCTAAAATCATCTGAACTTGAACAAGTATCAGTAGACGGTATTGAACCATGGACTGCTGCGACTTGAAAGGCTGTTGCCGGCACCGTCGTCCTTGCTGCAAGTTTTTGCCATATGACTTGGACTGTCAACTGCTGGTTGAGATTCAACAGCGCAGTGTTGCAAGGTGCCTTGTCTTCGATCTGCTGAAGTGCGATCTACGCACGGCGCTGACCAAGAGACTTGGCTCAACATCCTGCAGGTCCCCATGTCTGTGTGTCCCGGGTGCCCCCAACAAGAAACAAGGATTTGCATTTATAGACAGGTGCGTTCAGACGCATGCATAGCTACATGCTCAAACAAGAAGCACACGTGAATCCAATGAACGCGCCGGCATGCTTTTTACAGATGCGTGTTTTATCGTGTTTTTGTATGCATGTATATGTACATATACACATGCGTTCATGCATAGGCATGCAAGTAGCCACATAGACGCATGTCCCATTTTGCTTGTGTATGAGAAACCTGTATACCGACTGGTGCACACCTGTTTTCGTGCGACTATGTATGTCTGCAGAACCGTGTATGTCTCGGTTGGCTCTGTTCCTTTCTTTGGCCCTTCCTACCGGTAGTGTAAGCTTGCAAGGCCAAGCCGTCTGTATGGGCTCCTTTCTTTGCAATATGTCCGTCGATCCATACAGATATTTGTCGGTACAGTATGTCAACTTTATCTAGTTGTATTTCTGTCTATCCATGATCGACCCATGTAACACCATCTAACTGTATACCATGTGCAGGTGTACGTGCATAGCCGTTTGCACGCATCTGTTTCTTGACTTCTCAGCATTTCTCTTTTCACGACAAATTAAGCAGCACCTCGCTGCCCTTTGATTCGGATTGTATTGAAACCAGGTACGGACAAGGGAAAGGTCTTCCCCTACAGACGGTCGCGCAGTATGCCAGGCGGGTGCTTGTGTTTGACCAGACGAAAAGTTGAAGGAGCTCGAAGCAAGCCTGACCTTATACGTATGTCAAGACTGTGGAGCAATGCACACTGTTGCCCGCTCAATCTAAGTCAAGAAGCGACAGTGGCCCTGAACTTGCACTGGAATCTGCGGAGGCAACTGTTTCTGGCGCTGCGGTGTCTCCGAAAAGTGAAGCTGATTCACGGTCGGGATCTTAGCCGATCGTGGGATGAATTCGTTGAGCAATTGTTATCCCAGCCTGATCCCTCAGCCTTAGAATCTTAATGCTTGACACACACACACACACACACACACACACACCTCGGTCTTCCTCTAGTACCAGACAAGCCCTATCCAGCCTCCAATCCACAGTCAAATGGTCCAACTGTGAGAAATCCCTCAGTATGTGTTGAATGAGATCCTGTTGCGACAAAGAGATCGCTTGACATGTCAGTCCTAGAGGGGCCTAGATAATTACCGGGGGTTCCTTATTACAATTATAGTATAATGTGTCTTAAAACCTGATTCTAATTATTAAGGTCCCTACATTATGCAACAGCCTCGGGGAATCGACAAAACCCTCACCGCCCGAGGTGACTTGAAACCCGACAACGCCACTCGGCTTTTTCCTTCGCTTAGATACAGTATTTCCATCTCTGGGATTTCGGACTCCTATGTGGGGGTTTCGTGTGTGCACGTTCCAGGCTAGATTTGGGGGAGCTTATAATGATGACGACGCTTTGCGTGAAGTTGTGAAAATTTGTACAGGAAGTCCTGTTGTAACCATAAGCCATAAGCTTCCGGCAGCGGCCTTGCAGGGGTTGGTTATGGTTGCCAAAGCTGTCTGCCAATATTCGATAGCACGAGTTTCCAGCCCCATGCCATGAAAGGTGCTCATAACTCTGAGCAAGACGGAGATCAAGCTTTGTGATTTCGGCTCTGCTATGGACGTGGGCGAGGCGGTCGTTGGGCCATATAGTATAGCCACGAAAAGTCAGCATCGCTGAATCCGAGAGTCGACTCGCACCCCTGCATGTCAACAACTTAAGGATCGCGTGCGTTTAGGTCGACATCCCAATGCCTCGCAATGGAACTGCGGACCATGACATCACAACCAGATGGGCAGGAGCGGCGGAACTATAGAATAGTCGGTGAAAGGACTTTCCCATGAGCACCCAACCAACCCACAACACGGGCCGCACGAGACGGTATCATCTTGATCCTGCATTACATCGCCCAGCGTAAATGGACAGAACTAACGCGCAAATGATGATAGATTGCTTGAGCCCTAAACCCCCAAACCCATGGCCCTTTGCACATGTACAACATAAATGTCGTTTAAGGAGTATCTGGCTACCAAGTTACCATATCACCATATCTGTATATACATGTAAATATATGTATATATATATATATATATATACATATTTCTGCATGTGTACATGTATATACACATACATGCATTTCCGTCTATCTATCTCTGTGCGTGTATGCAGACTTTACAGACAAACCACATGCAGACACTTTTGTTGAAGCGTTGCAGGCAGTGAAGACGCCCTACCTGCAGCCACGCTACTACCGGGCCCCAGAGGTGATTCTGGGCATCGGGCGACGCGGCGCACACGGAAGGATTAGGGTTTCGGGTTTAGGAATGCTTGTTTCGGGGCTTGACGGCTTCGGTTCTACAAGGGTTCCATTGAAGGGTTTCCTATCAAGTGCTCTGTCTAGGGGTTTCAACTAGGATTTGAGTGATTACACTAATGGTGCCCGTGCCCGCTTTAGTCCCTGTATGATTATACTGTAAGACGCAATCTGATCTCATGATTATTGAGTCCTTTCGTTGCTGGGGTCATTGGGGTGCACCCCCACAAGAATTCGAGCTGTTGCAGCCGACAGTGCTCCTCTGATCCCCGATGTGGGTATAATCTAGTATGGATATATACTGGTTACTCGTTTGTTTTATTGCATAAGGTGAGTACCTTTCAAGTATACATCGGGACCATAAGGTAGTGATCGCAATTATTATTCGTATTTCACTCGGACCATGTCAGCCAACTTGTATAAGGACTCTGTGGTACCGTTTGTCTAATATCAGGGCCACATGGGGTTCTGGCATCTGAAGATGCACTCACTGTGCAATCTTCAGCCGTGCCGAGCCTGAGTCGAAAGCCTGAATCTGATACAGCGCCCGCACAACTGCAAAATCCGCAAAGACATGGAATTAACAGTGGTTCAGAGTAAGGCAAACAAACATGCAGCACCTTTTTGGGAAGTGGTTCTTTATGCTGCAATGAAGGGACCCCCCTCAGGGACGATGGGGATTCTGCGTTCGCTCATAAACGGAACCCATCAAGCGATTGCGGGTTGTGGCTTGTGGCATGCGAGAGTTTGGGAACTTCAGGAAATTGCGGCGCCCCCATTTGGATTAGGATTCTTAAGTTCAAGCGACCCTGAGTGTAAGACACCCTCATATAGGGAACTCAAGCAACATGCGTGACACATGTGGGTCCTGATCCTTCCATGCAAATCCGCCAAGAGGCTTCATCCTAAAGAGAGAAGAAGACAGGTATGATACGCAAATCGACCTCTGGAGTGTTGGCGTCACCCTGTTCGAGCTCAGCAGCAACCTGGCTCATGCTCTCAAAAGTTGACGGCTTTGAGTTGAAGGCTTCTCGGAATCCAGGGCTTAGAGTTGAAAGTGTACGAGGGTTGGGTTAGAGCTTTTGGTTAAGGGTGTCGGGTGGGCATGAATACACCTCTATGAACTATAGACCTTGCAAGGTTTGGAGCTGCACGCTGCGAAGCAAACGATGACTGGCATACATTGAATTCAGCTCTCAGACCGTCCGGCGGATTGCTCAGCCATACTCAACACACGGCTTGTCTTCAATCGAGCGCATTCTTCGTTTAGGTCGTGAGGTTTTCGGGTTGACTCAGGATGCCTCGGTTCGTGCAGCGAAGTCGTCGTGCGGGATCAGACTCTCCGGACCGTCACCGCAAGCAGGTGGCAAAATCCTCTTCACGGGGAAGTCCAACAACTCGATGGTGCGGCAGATGCTGGAGGCCGTTTTCTGTTTCTTCGCAGGTATCTGGGGCGAGGTGGGGTGAGTGGGTTTCATGAAATTTCCGATTCGTTCTGCCAGTGGTGGCGTGCTAAGAAATGCGGAGGATTCTTCCGAATGCTTCATAGCACCGACTTCCCCTAAACCATCCAACCCTATATAGCTCCTATATAAGCCGCGAGTCCGGCCCCCTGCCGTTCTAAGCGCTGTGCCCCGAGCATAGATGCACACATTCCCAGCTCCTTTCGGCCAGTCTAATTTGCCCCTCTCGTGTAGCTTTGGTTCAGGTGCTATGGTACTCGTAGTTATAGTTAAACCTTCATCCCCAAAATGACCCAAACAGATCCGAATTCGCCAAAGCTCCAGACCCCCGAATGATTTCACGGACCCTAAGGCGCGAACCCTAAGCCCTTATCCCCTAACCTTGAGCCCCAAACCCTAAACTCCAAACCCTGAACGATAAACTCCTAAACCCAAACCCCGAGCCCTAAGCCCTATAGTGCCCTTATAGTAACCCAAGGAACCCCTGAACCCTGAACTCATAACTTCAAACCACGAACCCTATGCTTCCTAGGTGTCGGGCGCATTTCCGAAGCGCCTGGCCACGAAAGGCGAGTTCCACGCGAAGCACTTCAACTCCGAAGGCCCGGTGGGCAGGGATTCTTTCCTAAAAGCCTGAGCCCCCAGACCCGTTTAGGGTTTAGGGTTTAGGGTAACCTAGTCGGGAATGGGGGGAATGGGTTATGGGGACTATTATTCAGGATGATATAGGGACTACTATCGGGATCCATTCTGAACCCGAACCCCAAAAAAGTAGTTTGGCGTTTACCAGGAACCTTCCAATGGCCCTTTGATGGAGCCCTTGTGGTCCTTAGTAGTGGGCATTTGGGGTACATTAGAGGGTTGGTGGGGGGTCTAGGCAAGGTCCTTCACACTTAGAGTAGCTCCCGAGGAAGGTTATAGAATACGCGCCAAAGTTCGCGGTTGTACCACTCTCTCGAGATGCTTTAGAAACAGTAGCAAAATATCTGACTGTTAGAAAACATAAAAATAGATTGGGGGTTACATTTTTAGGGTATCATCAGGGGCTCGTTAGGGTCCTTTTGTTCACCATTCTGCGATGCAGGGTACTTGTTGAAAGTCCCATGGTCCTCAATTCCAACATTGCAACAACGACCGTGGCCTATGGAACTCGTGGCTCTGCCGGCGGAACGTTGCTGAGGCGAGTTCCTTCTGCACGATCCCACATCCATCACTGGCATCCGAGACTTGGCGGACGACTCAACCCTAAACCCTCAACACCGTTCGGAAACTGTGTGACTGGTTTTCCCTGCACACTGTCCTCAACGTACACTAACTTGCGAGTCATCTACTCGCACGTCAAGTGGAAGCGACTGTTGTCGATAAAGGGGCCTTAATGCTTCCAGACCGCCATAGTTTTCGATTGGGTTGAGCTGTTGGTTTACATGTTGGCTACTTGCACAGGCTCCGCACTAAGGGGCCGAATTCCCAAATCAGAAAAGTATTATGAAGAGAGGGAGAGCGCAGGATATAGATATATATATATATACAAATGTATATACATATATGTATATATGGAGAGAGAGAGAGAGAGAGAGAGAGAGAGAGAGAGAGAGAGAGAGAGCGAGAGAGAGAGAGAGAGAGAGAGAGAGAGCGAGAAAAAAGAGAGAGAGAGAGAGAGAGAGAGACAGAGAGAGAGAGGGAGAGAGAGAGAGAGAGAGAGACATCGAGAGAGAGATATAGTGGAGATAAGGCGCGCTCTTCGGTTCAAGGATTCAGAATAGGCGAAAAGAGGCGACTCTAACATAGAGCCTAAGTAGTAGCAGAGAGACCCTTAATATAGTGATCGCCACAAAATGGAACTGATGGACTAGGTGTCTGGCAGAGGGGCTGACATCTGACTCTTCTGGCGCAGGTGCTGTTTTCGGGGACTTCGGTTTCATGCTACAGGTTCCTGTCAAAGATTGCCTCGCAATCTATCACCCGAAACGACGCAAACGAATGGCTCTCCTGATCCAGGACTCTGTGGGCTCAGGGTTTGTGGACACAGGGCTAGTGCATCGGGGGCCTGGTTGCCGTGACAGAACTTCAGTGATGCAGGGTCTACAGATGAATGCGTTTGTCAAAGTCACCGTTCATGCCAGAATTTAGACGGACAGTGTAAGTATCAGTTTCACCATAGTTAATTGCTAGTGGCTCTGGGCCACTTTCAGCGAATGAATCCTGAACTCCAAGGGGACATCTTGCCCATGAAGAAGTACGAGAAGGTCCGACAGCCCGAATCTTGCAAGCAAGTTGGTTTTCTTGAGAGGTTTCGAGAGCTTGGGAACGTGTACTAAAAGGGGTCGGAATAATTAGACAGGTACGAATCTAAATAGTTCTCCGAAATCCTCTATTGGATTTCACAGGGTTCGTCCTGACAAGGGGGAAATGAAATTGAAGACCATTAGTTCAAGCCGCCATTTTAGGGCCGAGCACCCGCGTGTTCTTTGCTTCAGTGACGACATTTCAGGTCGTGACAATCCAGCGGCCATGTCATCATAGTCAATCTCTTGGCATTGACGGCTTCGGCGTAGTGTTTAAGCTTCTGAAGAAGAGCATGGTTGAACCCTGGCCGAGAACATGCCGCGCAGTCCAGAAGCGCCACATGGAAGTACATGAAGAACACACTCTGGTGAGCATGCTCGGAATCACAGGGATAGAACTGTTGAGTACCAAGCTTACCTGCGGCGACAACTTAAGGATTGCAAAGGCGAAGGCATGTACCAGGCTTCAGGCTTGAGCTTGGGGCGGCATTCCGTGCAAAGTGCTGCATAGGGAATATGCACGACAAGAGCCCTGCCGCCTGACAGACATCCGTACGAAGGTAGGCAACATGCTGGACCAAGTCTTCAAGAATCCGCCGCCTAATTCGGCAGCTTGGGCCAAAGTGGAATTGATGGAGGGAAGGTGGGGCTTAGGTTCACGTTTACACTTCAGGGCGTTGGTCGGGCTCAGTTCTTATTTGAGGGGACGGGGCTTGCGACCAGTGGGTGTCGGCCTTTCGTATTTTCACTGGACCAAGGACAGCCTGCAATGAAACAACACAGTTCACCGGCAGTCTTCAACAGCTTTGCCTGTGTAACGGAGAAGCCTGAAAGTTGCTCATACTATCACCATATAGTCCCTCTATAACTATGTATACATGTACAGATGCGTGCACTCACTCGACTCTGTCGAGCGCGAGTGCCAAAATAGATGCACGCACTTGCATATCTCACTATATACATGGTATAACATACCTTAAACTACCAAACCGTATTTTTTGCAGGTTCTTATCATAAACCCGTATATGGAATTTACAGGGACCCTACAAAAAAGTAGGTATTGGTAGCTTAACATACCCCCAACCTTACTCTACTTGATAATGCACCTTGCCATGTCCAAGACAGAAAAGAGGCCGGGAGAGGGGGTTCAGGGCGTGCGGCTATTTTGGGCTCCTTGTAATAAGGACCCTGCTATTTAGGGTGCTGTCTTAGGGTCCCCTATTTCGGGAACTCCCATACAGCTTATAGCCGAAGTCTTTACGACTTCTGCATGCTTGAGCTGTGCAAGGACCCAAAGACGCAGGAACGGCTGATGCCGCGTCTCGGTGATCTTGTGACGAAGCTCCTCGTCCTCGATCCGGCGGCATCCTGACAGCATGGTTTCTGTTATTCTGGTGCTTACCCTAAGGCTCCATAGTAGCTCCTTTTTGGGGTTCATGTATAGAATCCTATAATGTAGTCCTAAAACTAAAAAAGAACTACTATGGAGCCTCTGGGTAATGCATGACCATGTCGCAGAAACGACTCGGAGGATCCTCTGCCTATCAGTGCTATCACTGAACTTGTGCTTTTGTTTGTTTTGGTTCCATGTTTTCTATCTCTTCTAGGTGGATGAACATGATCGTGTCTACCGGTAGGTTACTGAAGGCTACAACGGACTGTGGCCCGCCACGGGTCTCGTTTCCATTGTTGCGCAGCTCGTTCATACTCACGTAAGTATTCGGCTTCTAAGTGGATGGCGAAGCAGACACCTTTACAACACAGCGAGGGACTGGGGTTGGAAATGCGGATGTTCGCGCTAGGACGTGGCTCTAATGACTTGGATACCCATAGATCAAGTCCAGACGCCAAGCAAGACCAAGGGGGGGCAAGCAAGGATGTTGCATTAAGCTGTCATTTGTGTCCACAACTCTCGAACCTTACATCTCGGGCGTCCGTCAAGTCCCAGAAGAAAGCAAGCAAATGCTCTAAGCTGGCTTTGGCAGTCAGGTTGACGAGGGTCTTAGGCTTAGATGCTGTCTTACAATATTTGGCTGCCTCAATTATGACAGAAGCGTGTTGCGACATGACTTCAGCCGCTACTCGCTGTACTCAAAGAGACCAGCCCCTCAGCGCGACTCTTGTCCGGAAGAGTTGTGGGGAAACGAGATAGATCCAGCTACAGATGTGAGAACATGTCAGCATAGACGGCCCTGAACCCTTAAGCAAGCCTTGAACGAACCCTTAACCAAGCCCTCAATCGGAAAGTCTACTCCTAAACCCTTCCCCCGCGGGCTTGTCCGAGGAACGCTTGACACCCGAAGATGCTTTGGCCCATCCTTTCTTTCAGAAGGACAAATGAGGCCTCGAGTTTAGGGTTTAGGGTTCAGGGTTTAGGGTTTAGGGGTTTTAGAAGGACAAATGAGGCCATTACATACCCCTAGTAACCTCCTAACCTAAACACACCATCCAGATGTCAGGTTAGAGGTTTGAAAATGAGGCCTCGAGTTTTCCGCTGTATTTGTTTGGTGCTGATCTGCTGCTCGCATGAAAAAGGTGTTTGTGACCTTTCATAGCATGTGCCAGTATTTTCCAAACTCCGACCAGTGGATTGAATAATCGACAATCAAAAAAAACCTTCCAAGACTTCCATGTTGTGTGGCTGTGACATTCTGTAGGATTCAAAGGTTTTCGGCAGTGGACACTTCTTTGTCGTTTCTGAAGTTGCAATGGCTCGCACAGAGCCAAGCAAAGCTGCACCCCTGAAAGCTCGAAGTATCCCCGGCGAGCCCAAATCCTACGGACATTGCGATGACGGCATCAATAACAACGGCCATACTTACACAGATGCATGCTGGCAACTTCATTTGTCACAAATAACCGCAATACCCAAAGCCACGCAGATGCAGCATAATTACTAGCTGCATAGATCATAACTAAACTTTAAATCCCAAAACCCTACTCCCCTACACCCTCAAGCAATCAGAAGCCTCTTGGCCCAAGAGGGAGTTTCCAAAAATCTGGGTACCCTATATAGTATAGTACCCCATATAATAGTAGGATCCTTATTGCAAGGACTCCAAAGTAAAGCTGCCCCTAATCTTCGGAAACTCTAAACCCCAAACCCCAAACCCTGCATAGAACCCTTACAGCTATTCTTTAAGGAGCCCTTACAGGATCCCTTTAAAGATACCCCTAAGTATTCCGGCGAGGCAGCATGCAAGATTCCCTGAGTCGCCGTCATGTGCTCAGATGAGCGTGCAAGTGAGGAAGTCCATGGTGAAGGGGAAGACGGGCTCAGTAACCGACTTGATGTGACGCTTTCTGCTTGGAGCCTGCACCGGGAGATACCTGCATGTACTGACTCTTAGTGCTGTAAGCGTTAAACACTCGTGTTTCATATGGGTCAAAATGCAAGCAGGAAGGGAGTACTCGTCTATACCGGCTCGTAGCAGTCCGTCCTGCGTCCGTGACACCGCACCAACCAGTGTCCCCAACATATGATGGACATCCTAAGTTAAGGATTCCTTTCATTTTTCGTACGACAAGCTCTGATGTCTACAAGCGCCGGAGGTAGCCTCACTCTCCTTTGCTGTGGCCGATGGCGGGACATGCCCAACGTCTCACGTATTCCGACTTGAGCCTGCTTGAACAGGGATTCAGGTTTATACCTCGGACTGCAACATGATGTTTGAATGTAGATCGTCTGAGGAACCCTAATGACAATAGTGTCGGCCCCATGCGACTCATCAATGATGGCATTCCTTACCTGGGTCGGCCCAGGCATTTGGATGATATTGTTTCTGTCAGCACGCCGGGTGCATGTCAAGTGAAAACCTACAGCTAAGAAAACTGTTGAACCGTTGGTCACAGGACTGTCGTAGCAGCCCCTGCGGTCGAAATCACGCCTTGCCACGGACAAACCCAAAGAAAGAATCATCTGTTAGGACGCTCTTTACCGATGTTGCGAGTGGGGGTAGGGGGAATTGATCGAAGTCCGAGCTCATGCTGAAGGACGTCAACCTCGACATGCACGATCTAGTTCTGTTTCGCCTAGTATGTCTGTATGATTATGTGGGCCCCCGACTCACTAATAGCATCAGCGGCTTATCACCGGCCGCCATCTCTGGACCCTAAACCACTCAACCTTTACGCTGTACAACAGAAGGTGTCAGGCATGGCTGTCGGACGCACCCAGAGAAGACAGAGCACACCCTGCTCCGCTCCCGCGGACGCACGGCGAGGGCTCGGCAGAGTGGGAGCAAGAAAGAAGGAGCTGCATGCTCGGTTTGGTAAAGATTCACGTCTGTGTATGTGTGCATGCATGCATCGACATGTTCTTTAACATATGCATGCTAGCGTAGGTATAGACATGAAATGGTTAATTACACCAGTAGAAGGGCACTTGGGCTTAGTCGGGGTCGTAAGCCTGCGCTGTCATCTGAGCTGAGTGTTATTGAGCCTCTCAGTGGTCTATAGAGCTATAGAGGATCTTTTACGGATTCTCAAGGCGGATGAATGGCTAGGACCTGCGGTAGGCCCTTATTCCCTTGTTTTAGGGGTTCAGGTTCCCTTAAAGGCCCCTTCAAACCAAAAAGGGCACCTTTTTTTACTCCTCGGTTACTCTTGGGTCTAGATGGGTATTTACTTCTTCATGGGCCAAAAACCCTAAACTCCTGCAACCCGGCCTGGAAGGGGAGTTTGCAGGGCTTTGGATTAAGGGTGCCTCACGGTTTTGAAGTGTTGACATTCTTGTAGTGCCCAAGCCGTAGAACCAAACAGGTGTTACACTTTTATGTATGGAAACGTCAACTGTGCCAGGCCACGCAGTGTCTGTAACGGCTTAGCTGTGAGGGCGGTGATGTTCGGGACAAGGATTTGTACTGACATTGTATTTTGATATGGTTGATGATCAAAGCCCAGCGATACCAAATTGGAGGTTTATACGTATCTCCCGAAGCTACGAGTACTTAAACCCTGAACCCCAAACCCGAATAGCTGAGTGCCAACTATTCAACCAAGATTCCCTGCAATGCAGGCTTCGTCCTTGCTAGGTAGGACAGGTAGGAGAGAAAAAAACAGAAACCCTTAACTACAGACCCTTTCAAGACCTCTTGACAATATTGTAAGGATGTTGTTGCCGCCGACGGACACACTGATTTTTGAACCCAAAAGACTTTGCAAGCTTTCAAGTCGTTATCGGTGCCTCATTTGCTCGGTGTTGGTGTCTTGAACTTCCCTTTGATCTTTGCCCGATGCAGTGGAGAGTGTGTTTGCTTATGCCGACCTTTCAAGCAAGTTTGGAATCCCATAGACCCCAGACCCTGGTCGTGCCCACTCGGAAGACATCTTGAAGGGCTGACAAACGGGTGAAGGATGCATGGTTTGCTGAGCCCTGACCCTACGAAACTCCTGTTTCCGCCCTCGAAAGGTCAAGCGATCCGGTCGGCGTGGACATCGACTGTGTCAGATGCCTGATCAGGTTGCAGAGCAAGAAATGCGGCCCTCGTGCGAAGCAGTGTAGTGGTAGACAGTTTGTCCTACTCTACAAAGCACCTCGTGGCACGGCACAGTATCGTACCGTGCCAAAAGTGATTTCTGCAGTACTCTCTTTCACTGGCTGCTTATCGCCACGTGGTCTCTTGCCGTGAGTAGCGTTCGGGTGATTCCAACATGCGATGGTAGCATTGTTGTACTAAGCTTACTGTTCCCCTCGTTCGGGTGTCGAGCTGCTTGATTCGTGCACTATTTCTCTCGTTCTACAAGTCTACAACCCGTCATGCTGTTTAATCGTCTAACTTCGTATCTATGCTGCTTTTTTGAATCATCTGGTGTTGGGAAGAAGTGGTTGCTGCTTACAGGTTCGTACTCTTGTAAACTGCTTGGTGCCTGACGTTCTCAAAGTGAGCGCGTTTGTTCTTAAACCGGGCACTTAAAGCCATTCTCTCGAACGCCGTGACCCAGTGCTTGCCCTCGAACCACCAGTGGCGTATTTTGGCCCAAGCTCCGCAACACTGTAGCGAGGTGACCGGCGGTACAGGTTTTTGTACTGGGTCCTTACGATGTAGATGTGTGATCTGGTGCCCAGACACGACTTTCGGACGGGACAGGTGGCTTTCGAGGAAGAATTGACCGAATTCGGCACCGCAGTACCTCGGCCACAATGGCCGTTATCCTCCTTGCCTTTCTGGGCGTTGTTGGCTTCGCAGATGCCAGCGGCCACCAGAGCGGTTCTGGAGCTCTTGTGGTCGACAGCAGCTTGGACTTGCGAGTCATTGCAGATATGGTTGCGAATAAGGACACACAAGCTTTGTGACTTTGTGATTGTAGTTTTATTGGTTCGTGGATGATCGTACATGCATACCCATCCACACATACGTGCATACGTACATACATACAGACAGAGAGAGAGGGAGAGAGAGAGAGAGAGAGAGAGCACACACACATCCATCCGTGCATCCATCCATCCACCCATCCACACATCCACATACGTGTATGAATGAATGAACCGATGTATATATGTACATGTATATATGGATGTATGTAAGGATGTAAGGATGCATGTATGTATGTATGCATGCATGCGTGTATACTTGTTTTATCTACCCGCACGTACACATTTGTATACACATACGCAAGTTGACAGGTCTGCATTCCTATCTGCATGGCTGCCTATCTACCCATGTATGACTGGTACAGAATACAAACAGCCATCAGAGAAGGCATGCTGGACCAGTAGAAATCACCAAGGCTTCCTGAAGCCAGTGGAGTACAGCCAAACCTTGCGAGTCTGCAATGCGTATGCGGGCGATGACAGCTTTTCGGTGGAGATCGGTGGCATCAACTCAATGATGGGTGCTCCTATCAAATACAAGGCCATTGCGGGCTTTCGTTCGTTCGTTCAGTCACGAGCAACATCACTAGGTCGTTGGGTTCGGTTCCGAAGTGCCAGCTGGCAGATCAGTCCATACCTCTCTAGTTCCCACTTTTTTGGGCAACCTTTGGGAGTGTATTGGGATTATACTTTAGGAATTATAGTATTTCTAAAGGGTTCAAGGTTACGCCTGCTGGGGCCAGGAATGCCAACAGCTGAACCTGGTGAAGCCTCTTGTGCGAGGAGACCGTCTTGAGCCCGGCCTGCAGTCGGTCCCATAACTTAGTTACCCACCACCCAACCTTTAAACTTTTTGGGTTCTTGTTCTTTAGTAGTAACCGGAAAGTTTAACCTTTAGTTCTGTGTCTTACTGGGGAAGTAAGATCACGACGGCTTCACCTGAGCATTGTGCCTCCTTCTTGCGAGAACCCCGTTTCGGCGACCCGAATTTTTGTCAACCCTTGAAATCACTTCGCCGGTGACACCTG